TAGGAATTAATTAAGGATCAATTAAGGAATCTAAACTTCCCTTTAGGCAAAGGATTTCATCCACTCAGAGCTACTGGCCTACCTCTATTCATCTGGAGACCAGAACAGCCTCATGGAGGAGTCAGCTGACCAGGCCCAGCGTAGGGACGAAATGTTGCGCATGTATCATGCGCTCAAGGAGGCACTGCTCATTATTGGCGACATCAGCGCCAACACGATCACCACCCCTGTACCACCACCTGTAAATGACTCCTGGATGCAGGAAGCCAGGTAAGGGTTTGCAAGCTGTGAATGCAGTAGCTGGGACACATAGTATCTAATCACACATGTGAATGTTTTGCTTGATGTCAGTATAAATTTGTAATGTCTTTCTCGCAGCCCAACCCCTCAGCGCAGGCCACCTCCTGCAGCAGCTCCACCTCACAGCCGTCCACCTGCTGTTAGGGGTGCAACACCAGGACCACCCATGAACCCTTCCCCTGCCTTTGGAGCTCCGCTTAATCCTTCTCCTGCCTTTGGTGCGCCCCCAATCCCCTCTCGCCCAGGACCACCTATCAATGCCTTTAACAGCAGTCAGGATCCCTTCAGTGCACCCCCACAGATCCCTTCCCGGCCAGCCCGCATCCCACCAGGTGTACCCAGGTACGGCTTACTTTGATGATGTGATTATCCATCACTGAAGTGCATATTCTGTATTTTATTGCAGTGTGTTTGTATTGTTTTGTCACCAACATCTCATCATCCTCTTTCTTTCAAAAGTTACAGGCATCATTTTTCAGTTTTCACTCTCACCAGTTTTGCCGTCTGTGTGCCAAGCTATTGTTTCTGTATAATCATTCTCTTCCCAGTCTGGGTTTTCTCTGTCTCACACTTCCTCTGTCTTCACCTTCTGGGATATTTGGTTTCTTCACTGTCCCTTTGTGAGCACGTCTCACCCCTTGTCTTGTATCTTCTCTCCTCGTTGCAGCCGAAGACCTCCTGGTGCTCCCTCTCACCGGCCCACCATTATCCGCCCTGCAGAGCCCTCCCTGCTAGACTAGACCTGTGGCCAAGCCCACCTAAGCGTGTGTGTTTGTGTGTGGATGTGTGTGTCTGCACACTATAGGCCAGAGGCGGGGGCTTGAGGGGAGGGGCTGACTGATAGTGGCGCATAACATGCATTGTCCAGCTGTATTGATATGCCTATTCAAGCAATGTTGATAAGCTGCTAATACTGTCTTCGTGAGTGCACATGAAAGAATCCCGTAACCACTTGAATATTACATTTGACAGAGATAGAAGATAAAATGAAACCCAGCTGATTTTTGTGATGCATTAAGCCTCCATCAGTAGGCGATTATGTGTCAAATTCAGTAGGTTTGTTTCCTACACAGTTTATTTCCTCGCAAGGTTCCTGGCAGAAATGCATAAATAACTTATGAACTGGTACAAGCCGGCTTCCTCTCCCCTCCCTCCACCTTTGTAAACTGGCCCAGACGCTCAAATCTAGATCTCTCTGTAATATACACACTTAACCTGTTGTTAATGTTTTACTGGGTTTTCATATCCTAACTGATTTCATACTGAAAAACAATAGCTTATTATCACTGTTGTTATTTTGGTGGTGTCGATTCTCTCTTCTTCTTCTTCTTTTTTTTTTTTTTTCCTCCTTGTTATTTTATTTGAGTGACTTTGTCCTTTTTAATGACCGTTATAAATGTAGCTTTAAAATGAAATCCTAATCACAGCAGAGACGAAGCATAAAAAGACACAGGGCAGGGTTGCATGAGCCTGAGAGAGCAGCTTCAGCTCCTCCTCTCTTAATTATCCCTCTGTAATGAAAAGATGTCAACCAGATTGACCATTATGATCCAAGCACTTCTAACCATCTAGCCTTACAACAAGCCACTTATACCAGGGATGTTGTCCGTTACCAGAACACTATGCACAAAAAACCCAGGAGAGGGAGAGTAAGACGGACTGAAGGCTGTCTGCACTTTGTGGGAAGCTTTCTCCACTAATTATGAAATGTTAAAACCTTGAATTTTAATCCCTTTATTCTCAGTTAAATCTAATGAGGCCTACTGCCTTCAAGTAGACTTTGTTAACTCCTGGATTAGCCGATTCAAACAGAACAAAGCATATAGTGTTTTTTTTTTTTTTTTGTGAGCTGATAAAACTTGGTGAAGCGGTGGGGTGTGTAGATGAGGACGGATCTGTGTTTTAGAGTCTAAAGATGGTTTCACGCATAGAGGAGATGTCACATCTCTTTCTAGACGTAATTTTCAAGGACATCTGTTGTTGCTTTCAGTTCTGCTTCCATGCTTTAAAAATATCATTGTATATAGTTGGCCGATACTGAGGAGTTGCCTTGTATCTCATTTTATCGCAGGATTGGGGGAAAAAAACAAACATTCTATTGACTATAATCAAGCATCCAACTGTAGACATCAAAATAAAGGAAGCACTAACAACGTCATTTCATAGATTAGACTTCAGCGTAGGGAAAAAGAGATTGGTCATCTCCTCATGCATTATTTATAACCAGGGCATTTGTCATTTCTTTTGATGTTTTTTTTTCTTGCAATTGTATCAGCTCTGTACAACTGTATTGTACTCAGCTCCCCCGCTTCTCCTGGATTATAATTTGGGTATGTGCTACAGGGATTAGCTGTCTAAACATGTCGGAGCATACTTGGGTCTTGGCATACACAGCTGTGATTATTTGCTGATGAATATGTTTTGATTGCTCTTTGAGGGTATTTGACCATTTCAAACAAATTTTCTTCAACATTTTTAGGCATTTAGTGGGAAATGTATTAAGGTGGGAGTGAGGTTGGGCTACTTGGATGTTTTTTTTTGTTTTTGGTTTGATCAGTAGTGGGTGGTGGGAGTTGTGGTGTATGAAGGCACATCCTGTCTAGAGAAGCTCCCCCAGCTTTCCTCTGTATAGAGGTTGGAGAATTAATCAGCCAACCTGAAACGATTTTTAAAAATGTGTAGACAACTGAAATTGTCCCAACATACACAGGTTCTTGAGACAGTATGTGCTTTTTCTTCCTTTTCTCCGGGTTTGGCTTTCAGTGACAGTGCCAGAAAAACATTTCACATTAATTCTTCCACAAACACAAAAGTTTGTCAGACCTCTTATTGGCTGGAGTTTTTTCGAGATTCCTGCATGCCTGTCACTTCAGCCTGCCCTTGAGAAGCCCAGACTGTAAATCCCCTGTCATACATTAGGCTGTGGGAATACTGCCTTTCTCCCTAATGGATGTACCCTGCCTCCTTCCTCTTTCCCTCCCCTCTCTGGATCTGGAGTCGGAAACCAACCTGCAGGAATCTTTCTGTTTTGCAAGCCCTTGTCAAGTGCCTCTGTAGCAATTAATTGATTTGAATAAACATCATAAACTGATTTAGAAAGGAGAGTAAATAAAGAGGTGTTGTGTACAATAAAGGGACTGGCTCTGGTGGTTGGTGTCTCCTTGTGTCCAGTGTGATCCACCCTCTCTTTTCTTTTCCTCAGATAATGTCGAGCCCCTCCTGGTTTTCCTCTCTCGTTTCCTCTCTTTACATCTAAACCCATGCAAGGGGCTATAAATCCACACATGTTCCTATGGCAACCCTCTATTTGCAGACTGCCCACTTTACAGAGACATTGCACAAACAGTGGTCTTTACTATCAGTACGTGCGATTTCACACATGTAATATGATGGAAAAAAAATACCACGTCTTAGTAAAAGTAGCCTTTTATCAATATGTTTCTGCATAAATTAAATCAGCACTTATTAAAAAGACTTGACCTGCCCTTGTAAAGCTTTTAGTCAAGCTTAAGTGTTGTCTTACAGCAGTGAATCAAAGCAGATTTAATGTGACTTTGACATTCACCAACAGGAGTCAACTCTTAAATGTCAAAGTGGGAAGAGATGTACTTTAATGCAATGTTCTAAGATAAAACATGGCAACTTCCAAAGGGGTGTGAATATTTTAATATGCTCCGTATAGCTCTTTCCCAGTTTTTTAAAACACTCAACCTGCAAAAATACGCTCTTTTAAAATATATACATTTGATTCTGACTCTTTCTGTCTGAGCTGCAACATTAATGAATAATTCCAGTCCATGTGTCTTTCCTCTAGCTGGACTTTGCCGCAACACGATTATTCTCACTCCACCAATGGCTACATCGTGTTTCTTTACACTAGTCACAAGGATAAGAGATTAATGTTGGTTGATTGTTCCTGAACAGGCGCCCAGCTCCCCGTCGAAACCAGTGGTGACCTTGACCAGCCCACAGTCTACGTGAAATGACGTCAATCTATGGCAACAATGGAAACAGAAGACCTACCTACATGTTTTTATTTTTGTTCATCCACACAGATAGGCTCCAACGCAACTGTTACAGGCATTCGTTTGTAATGTGATACTATCAATGAAACTGAAGAGTTCAGACTGAGAGGCGTTAAGTTATTTTGTCTGTAGTGAATGTTGTTTAGCAATAGCTCTGGACTCCAAATGTGTTACAGTCAAACTGAAGTCGAGTGAAAACTTAAATTTATGTTTTATATTCTACTTTACAGTAACCCAGAAGACAAGAAATGTTATTTCAGATAATGTGTGATTTTAAAAATGAAGATAGAAAATGAGTTTATGATACAGCAAGAGATTTTATTGTATTGTTGCCATGTTACAGTTTCATAATTACAAAGAAGAAGAAAAAAGCCTCTACTGGAAATCATTTACGACAGAACATGTCATTGGGTCAAAGCACAGTGATGGTGATTGAAGTGTACTTTTTTTTGGTCTACTGTGTTCATTGTGCAGTTGTAAGAAACAAGTGACGTACGTGATGCATTCAAATAACAAAGAAACTGCAATAACACCAAAGCCAAAACTAACCTGGCTGTTTGCATGACATCATTGTTTTCTGCCTATTTAACCTCCAAATGGAGAAATTAATCAGGGAAATTGTTTTTATGTAAGTGCAAATACATGTGTTTTTGTCACAGTAAATAATTTAGATGGGATTTTTTATTTTGTTTTATTTTTTAAAGCCTGTAGCTCAGTAGTGGAATATTATGTAGGTTTGTTTGGCTGCTGGTTTGATAAGAACATAGCCTAGAGTTTTATAAAAGACTGTCATGAAATTCAATAAAACAACATTTGAGAGAAAACAGCTGTGGCTGTCTACTTTCCATAATGACATTATTACTAAATATTAATGTTGCAAGTAGTTTGTATATAATTATGTATGTACAGTGTGTATCTGTGTGCACATATTACAGTACTGTGAATGTGATTTCAGGGGTTGATGTGAAAGCAGAAAGTGCAATTCTAAAAATATGGCTGCAATAGGGGAAAACTAGCAAAAGCATGCATGAGCTCCAAAAAGTGTAAATCATCTCCTAAAAATCAGCACACACAGCACACTTCAGTGGAGTGTTTTCTGTTTAATGTGTGAGAGTGTTCAGGTTCTGCACTGTGGTGGCTGAAGGTAATAAACTAGTTCTGTAGTTACTATGTGCTGACTCGCTTGGTGTCATTAAAAAGCTGTCTCAAAGTGTAAATCTGAGTGACAGCAACAGTGAGCATGACCAACAGGTTTACACAGGACCAGAAGGACACTCGCCACAGGTTGTCCTCCAGGAGATAGCGGTCCCTCGTCTCAAAGGCCCGCAGCGCAGCCAGGACCTGACGGCTCTTCTCCAGGTGCCGGCGCACAGAGTCCATTTTCACCTGGAAGACAAAGATGGAAGACATCACTGGTATGTGCAGACAACAACAATAACAACAACAACAAAACAAATCAAAGAATGACAGCAGATAATTAAAGCATTGTTTGGATGGGAATAATAGATGCAGTAAATGAAATTGTCTTTTGTTTTTCCCTTCTCACCCTGATGTCCTCCAGTTTGTACTCCACCACGGTCTCTGTCATAGCAATGTCCGCCCACTCCTCCCGGCCTCCGCCTGTGCTACTCTGACTATTAATGATCACCTCAAAGAACACCATCTTCTCTGACAGCTTGCTGAAGCTGTTGTCAAAACACAGCCGGTAGTCTCCCTCCTCTGTGGGTTCCACCCTGCGGGAAATAAAAATATCACATTATGAAGACAGGGGACAGCTGCTCTTGACAATAAGACAGTTGAAATTACTCAATCCAATGTTTCATGGATCTCCTTGTGATAAATGTTTCTAAAACTACATAGTGTTCCGTATGGACATTTAGAAAGGAAAGGGAGCGACAATCTGAAATTCAGTGGAAGAAAAGTAGCCAAACCTTTGCCTCTTTTTAGTTCACACTCCATGTTTTTGCTTTACTGAATTTCTTGTTCCTGATTAAAGCTACTCCTGGTCATATAATACCTTTGGTGTTGCCTTAATCTTCCATCTAGCTTCATCATCAGGTTGACATTTAACTCTGCCCAATGCTTTGGTATGACCAGATCCCTCTATTAACAGGCACTGACAAACTGTAACTGGGGGCAGTGAGGTGAGCATTGCATCAAAAATGAAGATGTAGAAGGTGACCCACATGTGGATGCCATCTGAACTCCGTAAGTCAGAAACCAGCTGGTATCCGCTGGGTGAGATGAGGACAAAACCAACAACCAGACTTGACCCCGCTATCACCTGTAAAACAAACAGGGATTAGGGGACGGTGATGCAGGTTATACAGGCTTCAAGTCACGGTCAGAATTTCTCACATATCCACTATTATCTTGGCATTTTTATTCCACTCATGCACCTTACTTCTCGAGTTTTATTCAGACTATTTGGGCAAAAGGCTGCCTCAAAATCAAATGAAAGCCCTGATAGTACACTGAGCAACAACCTAGCTCGGGGTATATGTGTGTGCAATTTATTTCTCTATCCATTTAGCCTGCAAGTAAAAAAAAACAAACAAAGAAAACAAGCACAGGGTCAGGACCCCTGGCAGGGATTTGGTATCAAGGTTTTGAGAAACAGGCCACATCAGAATTCAGTTTGAGGTGACAAGAATCTCTAATTCTCTGAAAGACTGCACAACAGACTCACAGTCTGCTCATGTATTCATGTGCTTTGTTAATTTTTTAGGTGCTGCAAAATTCTCCGAGGGCCTAGTGGCACGTCATGAAGCAGCCTGTACCTGCCTGTTGAGTGAATGAGACTTCGACTTCCACACAGTAACCCTGGAAGCATGTGTTAGCTGCCCCATTAATCCTTCAAGACTCTTCTCAGACTCTCAGAAACTGCAGGCATGTGTCAAAAAGGTGCAGCGAGAGGTGACTTCACAAGAGCACAGTCCCGCAGCAGCCATAGGGGTGCAATATGAGTGTGACTACTGTGGTGTGGGAGGAGAAGCAATGCAAATGTCACGGCCATGAAATGACTGAGGTCTATAACACATTATTGAGGACACGCTTTTGTGCTGTGTAAAAAAAAGTACAACTGGCCAAAAAAAACCCCATCAATCTGTGTTCTGTGTGTGACATTCTTTTGAAATAAATGATAGTGGCTATACAGTTTGGATGCATTTACTGTGCTTGAGCAGGTGCAGGTGCATGCTGTACTTCTACACTGTGTTTTTGAGGTATGCATAAAAGCAGATGTATGACTTTGTGTTTTTTTTTTTCTACCTCTTTGCTCTGTCTTAGTGAGCAGGTGTCTTCAGCAACACCAGTGGTTTTCTTATCTCTCTGCATACGAGACCAAAGTCCATCATCTGTTCACTTGTTTGTCAGTTAAATGTTATTCACAAACTTACATCAAGCTATTCCCAACATCAGAACACACACTGTCTCTGCGCAGACAAACACAGGAGAGACGGGCAGACGAGAGAAGAGTGTGTATTTACCTGGTATTCAACTTCCATGCTGTCATTCCTTACGGTAGTTTGGTAAAAGCACTCTGTACCGCCAGCAGGTAGCAGAAATGTAAATTCCACATCTTGATTTGGCCCCAAACCCAAAGTCAGGCCTGTTGTCAGAGTCAAACATAGCAGCAAACAGAGCTGTGCAGACGCAGTCATCATGCTCAGTTCACAGTGCATAGTCCATTCAGTCTACTTCCCCCAACTCTGGGCAACTTTCTGTTATGTTACACGCACACAATATAGCAAGGTTTCTCTGTAACGGCTTACTCTCATAGTCCTGTGGTTGGACAATAGCCAGGCAGTACAGGTTTCCTTAGTCAAAGTTGAATGAGTGGAGCCACTATCTGCGTCCAATAGCGTTCTGCAGTCTGGACTGCACACACACATTCAAAACTGAGGAGGGCTGACCAGCAGCAATATGCTCATCATGTTGTGTTTTACACCATAGGTATGAAGACCTGTGTAATTAGTGCCAAAAAAATATATGTTCCTATATTCAGCTCTTTATTCACTACTGATTTGTACTTGCATTTGATATTCTATTTTTACAGTATTAGTTTATAAAAATGCTCTACGTGTCATGCCCTTCTAAATCCTATAGATGGAGCTGGTGATAGTGGAAGATAAAAAGGAGGCCACAGGTTTGATCAATGTAAGAACATGATGCGAATATGTATAATGGTGTATGTATAAAGACTTAGATTTTTATTTTTGACCTTACAGTTTTTTCACACATTAATTTGCCACCAAATCTTCCAATATTTAAATGTTTACAAGCATATAAATATATATATTGACTACTGAGTGGCACAGGTGGGAAAAAACCAAAACCAAACAAACCACCTAGCAGATGCTAGTTGACACATCAATGGAGGCTGGATGGTTAATGCTGTAATAAAGTGGTTTGAAGTTTTCGTTAACTGAGAGTTCTTAATAGATGATGTGTTAAGCATGAACAGCAAATTTACAGTGACTCCATCATTTCATAATGATGCATTCAGCCTCACAGAGCCACCACAGGCTTCTTGGGTCATCCTAACAGTGACATATATTATGCCAAACTTGAGTTCCTGTTCGATGTCTGAGATAAGGATCAGGTAAGTGAAATATGTTGGTTTTCTTTGTTATTTTATTGATTCTTCCTGCCCTGATTTCTCTCTCACTGTTTTTGTTTGTTTGTTTGGGTTTTTTTTGTCATTGTATTAAAGCACTTCAGTTATTAGAAGTGTTACACACTTACTCTGCATTATTTGCTGCACAAAATCATTGTGAATCATGCCTTGTATCTTGATTATTTTTCAAGAATGGGAGGTTGTCCATTGTTATGCTGTAGCGGCCTTTGTTTACAATCCCTTTTATACACATCACTTAAAACAAATGTGATTTTCGAAGAGATGTTTTATTGAGAGTAGGAAGAATATGAATACATTACAAATGAACTAGAACCTTAAGTAGTTTACGATGGTGAAAATGGAAACAGAAGCCTCTGTTAAAGGAATTAACGGAATTACAATTTGTCCTCGTAGGAAACATCCAATACAAGGTCAGCAATGAGAAACAGGGCAAGAGTCCTCCTCAGTGCACCATCTTGCTACTCGGAGGTGTTTTTTTTAACTCTTCCTATCATATCATGCTTGTCAGGTTTGAATTCAGTTTATTCAGCCTTGCCCCCCTACTGTACAACCACACCGTCGTGAAAAAATGTGTCCATCCCATAGTAACATATCTGAACAAGCACATGCTGGTCTACGCAGAATGTCTACATATAGAGACGAGATACTCAAACAAATGACAAATCAACATTTTGTAGTTATGCTCATATTTTCAATAAAGAAATGTTTTAAAAAATAAACAATAAACAGAGCAGTCACATGGAAAAGTAAACACGCTAATACATTTATCACATCTTAGAATCCACAATACGAGAATCAGGGCTTCCAGATTAGCTGCCACTGATTAAAGGTTTCTTACGAACCTGCCCGATTTAAACCTCTGACATGGAGAATCTGGTTTTCTCTGTATGACTGAAGTGTGAGGTGTCATCACGCCGAGGTCAAAAGGTTGTGAATCAGGGATTCAGAACGAAGTCAGTTAAAATAATTCATTTCCGTGTAAGGACAATAATCTAAGCTTCCCAATGAGCAGGTAGTTGAAGACAGTTTAATCAAAGATCGTGTTGTTTGGCTAACAGTAGACATGTTTGGTACAAATCGAACACAGGTTTTTAGGAGAAGAACCCAATACCAGATGTAAATCTTGTATTTTTGGGGTTACGAACTGGTTGAGAACTGGTCCGCTTGCAGTTATTGATTCAATTATTAATTCTACATGATACCAAAGAGGGCATGAAGAAAACATGAGGCTATCTGTCTGAAAATGAAGTGGAACAGGAAGTGGACCAATGACATCAAGATAATGACCCCAAGTGTGCTAGAAAATACCACCGGTTCAAACAGAAGGAGGGAGGGTTATGGAGTGGCGTTGTCAAACTAACCTTGTGGGGGAGATTTGAAGCATACGGTACAGGCACAAAATCCTCAAACATCTGACAACTGAATAATTTTTGCAGTAAGAAAGGTTAAAATCAGCCAACAGATGTCAAAGACTGGCAGACAGTTATGCAAGTTATTTCTGCTAAAGGGGGCAACGCTAGCTTTGGAGGTCATATATTACATGTATTGATTTCTTTTTATTGAATAAACTTTTCTTTATCTGAAGCTCTGTATCAAACAAGACCAAGTGTGTGCTTGTTTAAATATGTTGAAAAAGTTTGTTAATTATTTCTTCACACGACTGTACATTAACAGATTAGATTTAGATTCCATTTTGTTGTCAACCAATGGGATTGCTTCTTTATTAGGTGTCAGAGGAGCGTGGTGAACGGTGTCATGAATTATTAAATGTCTGCTGTATTTTCTCACGTAACCCCTGACCTCTGCCAAAGCCTTTCCTTTTGCTAAAACAGCAAAACTTCTACTGCAACTTTTCCTCATGTTTAATTAAATCTCTGATGCAAAGACACGGTTCTTTAAGGAAGTGAATCCATGTTTAGCATTTACACCCCAAATACATCCTCAGAGCTGATACTCTGGTCTGTCCCCTACAAAATAATAAGTAGTTCCGATTTGCGTATTATAACTTTTGGTCTGGGTTTGAGACAAGCCACATGTGTCGTACGTGTATGAGAGAGGAAGTGTGAATGTTGATATTTCAACATTTCTATTTCAGTGAAGTGGGAGGGTATGAAGGGGAGGTTAAAATGCATTGTGCTCCAACTTTTTCTCATCTTCCATCTTGAGATTTTACAAATGATGAATCGACTGCAACTGTGAAAAATTCAAATCATCTACAGTATCATTTTGATGTTTGCAGTTACAGCTCTTTTCTTCCAAAGGTGCTTTTGTGATACATCTCAAGATTTCTGTGTCTCAATGTATTCATCTGACTACTCGGGAGCTATCTCCACTTGAACCAACCAGAAGTGAGCCCACCCATTTTGTAGCTTTTTTCACACCTCTCTGCTCCTGCACCCTCTTTGTCTCTGCAGCCCCTTTGAAGCAACAGCCTTGACTCTTGCTAGACAGTTGCACAGTCAATCGATGTTCACTTACAGAAACAGCCCAGCAGGTAAGGCTGAGGGTGGATGCCCCTCTGTGTTTGTGGTGGACAGCCAAGCCACGCGGCCTGTTTTGCCACCGAGGCCAAACCAGGGCCGAAGGCATGGCGGGGCATGCCAGACCCTGCTGTTTATGCTGGTGAGCCTGGCGCTGTGTGGCATGGTCATCGAAGCCTGCTTCATCTACTATCTCTACCACACTGAAACTGTAAGTACTGCCTGCGTATAACACATTTTGTAATGTCATCCTGTGACTTCTTATCAAACCCAGAGTCAAATATATATATTCTGTTGTATAAAATTTCATTTGAACCCTTTTGAATCCCACTTTCATCACAAGATTTTATTCAGCTTTACCAACTTAGTCTCACTTTTAGTTGTCTTTTTTTATTAACATCGTTTATGTCGCTGTAGTTTTGCTTATCCGAGCTTTAATTAAACGCTAGTTGTAAGTATCTATAATCTGAATGCTTTCTGGTTTTTGCAGCACTTTTTTAAGGTATTATACAAATCTGTCATGATCACCAGCAATCAATCTTCAATCACAAATTGAGTTTTTGACAAGTTAACAATTGAGTGTATTTGTACCTAAACATGTATACATAAAAACGCATTTATCTGAAGTGAACTGAATCCATTCAGGTACTTTTAGAGTCAGCTCTCAAGGCAAAGATAGAAAATTACAAAAAAAAACTTAGAGCAAAAGGAGATAAAATAAAATACACACATTTACCAGTATTTGCATAACGTTTTAATGAACGTATTTCACGTAGTATGTGTGGGGAAATTATCTGCTTTGCCATTATACTTGTATTACCACAATGGAAACTTCTACTGTCCCGAAGTCTGTCTGTGAACAGAGGTTTTTCCGGTGTCATGCTAGAATTATGATGTGACCTAAAAATTGGTGCTGTTATCATACTGGGACACAAAAAGCAGCCTCACATTTTCTATAACACTTAGCACAACACAGATCAAGTTTCAGCAAACGGAAGTATTCTCGTGACACAGACAACACTATCTTCAACCACATGATCGATTGTTAGTGGGAATGTTTTTCCTAAAAAAATTGCTGATGCTGAATTTTTTTTCACTATTATGGGGAAGAGAGCAGAGTAGAGATGGAGAAGTACATTAATGTCCGGCCCATTTACAGAGAATTGACGTGGGGGATAAGGGTGTACAAGTTGATGTTCTAGGATTGTGAATGGTCACTGCTTTTACTCTCTTGCTCTGACTCAGTTTCCTTTACGGCATTGGTGCTCTTTACGAGGGCAGCAGTCACGGGCTTGTGACTTGGAGGAGGGCAGCAGGGTTTTCTTAGCAGACATATAATATACATACTTTACAAACGAGGGACGGTGGAGAGGAGGAAGTGGTGTGTTTCCTGTGATCTACCTATATGTCATTACCAGGAAGGTCGATCTGTCCTACTTTGCTCTGCAGAAAAAGTGGCCCTTACTTTCAAATTGTATGATGTGGAGATTTTTTTAAAGAGTAGTTTACATGCGATCCTATTTTTACCTTTAACTCAAATGCTTATGCACTCATTTACACACTCACAAATACAAACACACATACTCACCCAGCGAAAACGCTTTTGTTTTCATTGCAGGCCACCTCGGCATCATTTTCCAAGTTCATGGCAGGTATGTCTCAACACTTTTTAATCAAATGGTAAATATCTTCAGTTTTTTTATTCCACATTGGCAACATTATGTCTGTTCCTCTTACAGATCAAGATGCTACCGCCCCCCCTAAGCAGTCCAGTTATGAGATTCTTCCCTCCAAGCCAGTTGCACATCTGACAGGTGAAACCAACATTTCCGACGCTTCCGTTACCTTAATGTTGAATTTATAACCAAGACAGAAATTAAAGTATGATGCAGCTCTCATACGGGCGTGTAGTCACAAAGTTAGAACAGAGGCCTATTTATGATGATTCACTCTGTTTTAAAAGACTTCACATTATTGCCGTTTTTGTTTATTTTCCAGATGGACAAGATGTTGTTCATGATAAACAGGTCATGGCATGGAGCATGAAAGCAGATCCTCTCCTCTATGAAATGAAATACAATAACGGCTCTCTCATCATTCAGAAACAGGGTTACTACTATGTCTACTCCAAGGTTTTCTTCATGGACAGTGGTAACTTTCACCATTATATTAAGATGCATACTGAAAAGTACGCTGGGGGAATTATTACCCTCCTGCAAGCCAGGAAATACGCTGAAAAGTCGGACAAGGCGCGATCCAACAGCTTCCTGGGAGGAGTGTTTCACCTTTACGTGAATGATGCCATTTATGTGAATGTCAGTAGCACTGCAAAAATCGTAAAATTCAAACCATATGAGAACATCTTTGGTGCGTTCATGATATAAATATCACATTGATATTGAAAGGCTTTGACAAAGAGTAAATAAAAATGGATAAATACTCTCAGGGATTTTTGATTCTTTGTCATGAAAAAGCAGGTCGACATGGTGTGAAATCCTCTTTGTGCCTTTGCACAATATAAAGGGCAGAACTGCATAGATGGCTTATTTTCTACGGGTAAAACTCTTCAACTTTTTTTTCCCTTTTTTTAAAAATAAAACTTTTTGATATACGGAGCATTTATATTCTTACTGGTATAATTACTGTAAATTAAATCTAAATATAAAGAAATGATTTGTAACACTTGGATTTTAAAATCTCAATAAATATGTTTGTGTTTTGTACTTGCGAAGAAAAAAAAAAAGCATAAACTGTAACATTAAAAATGTCTTTTTATTCTTGCTTCAATACATTCCGCACAGTATTTATTTATTCTATCATGATAAAAAAAAAAAAAAGTGCTTTAATTCTGCAGTATACATGTACAATAATTTATGCAAAGCAGTGAAATAAACAGATCATTGTCTAAGAGTCTTGTTTGGTTTGATCTTCTCTCGTTGGTCCTGTAAGCGGGTGAATTCACTTCCTGCTGTGTCATGTGAGGCGGAGTGGTCTCAGTATCAGTAAATGTCTCACCTACTTAGTCCGACCACACGGCTCACACTGTAGAGAGGGTATTTTTACCAAAGTGACACGTAAATGTCATCATGTCAGCCACTTTTACAAGTTTACTTCAGGGTTTGGAGGGACAGCAGGTGCTGTTTGTGTCCTCCTCACATTCAGGTCAGCATTTGCATTTACATGCTACGAATTATCGTTTTCAATTCATCACCTCAGTGAAAAACAAGAAGCCTCATCACGCTAGAGCTTTTTTTCTCTCTCTCTTTTGTGTCTCTCATACAGTCCCCGCTACACTTTCCCTTCATCAGTGTCTGTTCGAAGAAGCTGCTCTTTGAAAACACCCACAGAGTTGTATATTTGTAAACTGAAGAGGAAGTGGTAGTCAGGGCCGCTGGGGGGGAGGGAGGGAGTGTCAGCGGCAGATTGCCTGACTCATTTTCCAACCCCAGACCCGGAGAGCAATGAGTGGTACAAATGTATAGTGTAGCAGGACTACTTGTTTGTGTGTTTTCTCATGTTGTGGGAACCAAAATCTGATGACATGGTGACATTAAGGAGACCTGTCTTTTCAATCAGATCTTCACAATGTAAATTGTTATTTTTTTGGAGGGAGAAGACATGTTTTTAGGGTTCGATTAGGGTTACGCAGTTTTGGTAAAGGTTAGCGTGAGTCTCTGGAAATGAATCTAAGTATTGCCCTTTGAAGTCATGGATACACAATTGTTTGTGTGTGTGTGTTGTGTACAAACAGGCGGGTGTGTAGGTTAAGTGACCACAAATTAATTTTCCCTCATGTATGTATGATAGGTTCTGTTGAAATTGGGAAAACACCTGTGAGATTGTAATCACAAGTCCAGAGTTCTACATATAGTCTGAATGCATTCGTAAGCTTATCATCTGTCAAATCCTGGCTGGTTTTCTCTCACACATTGAACAGCTTTCTTGTGTTTTCATGAATGCGTGTGTGAGTCATTATCTTCCAGCGGTGGCTGACCTCTGAGGTGTGATTGCACTAACAAACGTGGGGGAGCTGTATCAGCTGTGTGGTTGGGATTTGTGCTGGTGGTTTGCTTGTCATCATTAAACTCTAGTCTAGACATGACTTACAGGGAATTTGAGTAGGATGAGAATGCTCTATAACTGGCTATGATCTAAACCAAATTATTCACACTTCCATCTATAAAACAAACATTTTCCATACATAAAGCAGCCCTGTGTTGTCAGACAGTCATCTGCTGAGACAGAGTCAAGCTCTACTTCAGAGAAAACAGGACTACCTGTCAACCACTTGCAAGCCTTTTTTTCCACAGTGACACGACATGTGCTGCCTGCAGCGCCATAGAAGTGGCCGTGGCACATGGCAAACAGTCCACAGCTAAACACTGTCCCCTTGTGTTGGTCTCTTGAGAACAGTGGAGAGCTGATGTTTCATTTTCAAGCAATGCTTTGAGAGGATGCTGGGTTTCCATATATATATAAAAACCCCTTATGCTTATATGTAGTCTAACTTTTAATCAATGGGAAAAGTGCATTGACTAGATTTATGATGATTCATTTCTTTAAAAAAGCATCATATATGGCATAAGGGATGGAAGAGCATGTTCTTCAAAGGCTCCATGTTAAATACATGTCATAGCACAAAAGCCATGATGTCTAGGTGGAAATGATGTGAAGAGGCGACAAAAGGTTTTCACGCAAGCTGTCACACATCTGCATATGGATACCCAACTTATTGCCTTGACTCTGGGAAGTGGAAAGCAAGAGTAGGTACAAAGCAACTCATGCAGATGCCTCTAATAAGTGAAACAGAGTGGGAGGTAACAGGGTATCTGGTATCTCATCTCGGACCTCTCCTCAGGGTAACGAAAGCTGCGGTGACAGCAGCTAATACAGCGAGCAGCGAGATATGGGACTCTGTGACTGGTGTTTGGAAAAGAAGAGCTTTCAGATGAAATTCGTAACTTGGAAAATATGTCTCTTGGTGACTAATAATGACTAGTAGCATGCTCCAAGGACCTTTTCTGTAATTTAGCTCCATCAGTGTGGTGTACGTCTGTAGATGTGATGATGGATGTGTGTGTAGGATAAAAGCAACATTTTTTATTTTGCTTCGTCATGAGTCTGGAGAGGATATTCTTTGACAGCATGTGACAGGGAGGGTCCCATTTTGTATTAGCAATTCTGCGGTACCCCACTGTTACCTTATAGCCTCTCACTTTCACTTTATAACCAGGGTCTTGAAAATGACTCAGTCTGAATCACTAATTCATATTTGTAATTTCATTTACTCTGTTTAGCTCTACATCGGGACTTTTAAACACATCAAATATAATACGCAATATACAGAAAATGAGACTTCTAATTGTGACATTCTTACATTTTCATATCAGGATATATGCGGATGTAGTAAAAACTCAGAGTTAGATGTTCCACAAACAAATGCGATGTCTTTTAAGACGCAGTTCATTGAAATCTCAAGTTTCCACGACTCAGTGACAGAACTAAATATTTCTCTCAACAGCTCCTAACACATGAAACTCTCTGAATTAACCACCATGACTTATGCTTTCATGTGTGAGACCGTGATATATAACAAGTGAAGGAAATTTTGAGGTTAGTTTTGTCGAGTCACTTCCCTTTAAAATTTCGATTGTGAAAATAAAATAAGTATATAATAGGTTATGATTATCAATGAGTTCCCCACATGTGAAAGAGAATAGGAATATCATGTCTAAGCAAATAAATTATATACAGTTTTGGTCTTTTTTATTAAACAACTACATCGTTTTAAGTATTGACATCCTTGCAGTAATTAAAGAAAACACTGTACATACATTCCACTCACAATGTATGTACGCTGCACAATGTCACACAGTAACATACATTCAATATGCCGAACATCATTTTGGTGCCAACAATAAATAAATATATATTGTACAACAATTCAACATAAATATAAAATGTATACAGTACATTCAAGACACATCAAGAAATAAATCAGCAATTAGCTAGTGTGCAAATAACTCTGTTTGGTTAAAAAAAAACAAAGAAAGAAAGAAAAAACAAAAGGTTTCCGTATAATACATTCTTCCAGGTAACTATTACACACTTTAAATGTCAGAAATGTGAACAAGGAAAAAAGTTTGAACAATTAAGAAAGACTGGTTCACTCTGAAACTACAGCTTCACTCGTAGCTATTTAAGTAGCAATGAAAACTATCCAACTTGGATTTTTTTTTTAATCTAACAGGGGAAAATCCCTCCCAAACCCAGATCACACTTCATACATTATTGAATTTCCCTTCTGGGATAAATAAAAGTATTTTTCATTTTCATTTCATACTATTTCCATAGTGCTACATAGCTGAGTTTTAAAGTGTGAATCTGAAACCGTCTTCCTTTAAGCTTAATAGCAGAGAAATGGATTAGTAGAGACGTTGCAAGTGTTGAGCTGCCACATGGTGCAGTCGTCCTCGAATGTATTCATACCCTCCCGTGAAAGAAGGGAAAAAACACTGACAAAAGTAATAATAAATAAATAAAATTAATGAAAATCATCACATTGCTTTTGAATTGTGGTTCAACAGAAATATATATATAAAACAAACAAACAAATGAACAACAAAAAACCAACAACAAGCAAGCATGATGGGACACTCTCAATCTGTTGACAGGTATTTTGATTTTGGCCCACTGCTCATCAGCAAAGTGTTTACATTTTTTAAATATTCTTTTCAACCACAATAAAAAGCAATGTTTCATTTCACTAAATTATAATTTAGCAAATTTTTATTTATTATTACTTTTTTCAGTTTCTAGTTATTTGAGTGACTATTGTGAATTTTGCCTTTTCTATAATGGAAGGGTTTGAATACATTTGAGGACGACTGTATATACAGTTAATAATTGTAAATCTTGTTTTTAGGAGGATTTTTCTTTTTTTTTAGTAAATATAAGGGGCGAGGTTTTTACCTCGCCTGTGAGAAAAAAACACTCTTTTATGTTAAATCTAGCTGTTCTGTTACATTCATTCTCTGTGACGTCACACTTCTCTGACTGCAGTAAGACACTTGTGTGGTTTGCTGATCTGGTGATCAGAAGGCAAAAGCAGTTCAGTCTCAAGAGAACAATAAGTACACAGGTTGGTTACAGAGAAGGTTCCAGAGTTGGACATGCACACTGGAACATGCCAAGGATTCAGAATGCAGGCATGTGTCACCAGGACTGCATCTAAGGCCTGGCCATGTAGATGATATCGAGGTGGGTTGCAGATTCAGTGGTGTTAATACACTTGTCCGCTGGACTGATGTTGACCATCAGTGTCCCTCCTGCGGGCATCTCCTCTATCTTGCTGAGTACGCCGGTGCTGTTTGTTTTTGTGTTGATCCAACCTTCCAGAATAACTTTGTTAGTCCACTTCAGACTCACAGTGTGGTCCAAATTGTCAGACTCCTGTGTTTCTTGACATGGAATCAGTGTCACCTTAAGATTTAGAAGAAAGTATCCATCTTCCTTTATACTCAGTCTGCTTCCTGTTGCCGAGACCACGCCTGGATTTGGATTTTTTGAGCCCCATACAATTGGAATTTTGGCTGTGGAGGACAGAAAAACTGATGTTAAACTGTAAATTTGTTTTCCTAGAATTGTATTTTGGTTATCCTGTTTTGACTGAATGATGTCTGGCTCATTTTTACCCACATCTTCCGCCTTTGTCATACTTTGTAAGTACTGTATTACACACACACACACACACACACGCACACACACACAATCTCTTTACCTCCTTTAGCTGTAAAGGTGAGCATTTTGCCTCTCGGTAAGTGCAGCCTATCCTTGGAAGGGGGCTGTGGAAGGAGAAGCATGTGTATAAGTTTCAAAATGTTAATAAAATATATGGTTCCATCATGGCTCCCACTGTGACACACAGACCTGCTAAATGAAAGTTACATTTTATTTAATACGGTGATGAGACCTGCGCTTCCATCTTCAAAGTTTTCAGAAGGAAAACGAAAAGACAACTCTTTAGTTTAGTGGCATTTCCCCGAATGTGGCAATGACGTCATTGTGCTTCCTCCAAGAGGTGAGGAGAGTGGTTACACTGTGCGACTACAGTGAAAGAAATAGAAGTAGGCTGAGACAGACCTGCGTGGTCTGCAAGACATGTGTGCCTGGAATACTGGGTTTGCAAATAAGTAAGCATAAACAACTAACAACTACAACAGCTAAATCACCAAGATAATGTGTATTCAAATGGTTAGAATATATGATACAACACAGTGAGGTCAACAGCAGAAGCACAAACTCTGAAACTGGATATCTTACCGAAAGTGTACTATGTTGCTGGGATTTCATTATGTGCTCTTGTTCCACAGCGCTACTGTTCTGAGACTGAAAAAGGAAAAAAGATGCAGAAAATATGCTCAAAATAAATTGCACAAGAGGGTTTTTGAAACAAATAGGGGCTGCAATTGAAAGTTGAACCATTCAAGTTCTCTAAACAGCTTTGCTAAATTAAGCAATAATGAATGAACTTCTCTGTTTTCTAACAGACAATCAGTCACTGTCTGTCAGAGGCATTCTTCTGTAAAATATCTACTCTAGACAAACTCTGCTATTTTTTGGTGTTGGAAATGGACTGATTTACAACGCATGTTTCTACCTGAACACTATGAAAAAGCGTTACAGCGTATGGGAGATATGACGGGGTCTGTGATCAGCTGCAGACCACAGGCAGAGGTTTCTTTCTCACCTGCTGTGCTACTGTCAAAACCACATAAAAGATCAGCTGCACTGCAAAGGTAGCATTCCAGTAGTGACATTTTCTGACATACTTGTGTTAATTCAACCTAAAGTGACTGGTACTTACAAAGCTGTTGCATGAGTTTACAATGTAAAGTTTGTGTCTCATCACCATGATCTTATTTAGCATTCTGTAAAGTTCAATCTGAAACTATTTTAAGAGGTCTCACCAGGCCATTACGTCCAGCTGTGAAGAAGAGGATGGTGAACACAACCTGGAATATGGAAATGATGGTGGTCCACAACAGGAGGATGTAGACCAGGGAATGCTGGTTGGGCTGTGGCATCGTCAGTCGACAGCAGTGTTCAGAGCAGTCTGAGCCTGGGGAGCGCAAGAAGGCAAATGATAAGAAATGACGACTGCGCAGGTCCTGAGTTTCCTCTGCTGTGCACCAAAGCTAAGCTGTGTGCGCTTCCTGATGTCAGAGTGTACATGTGATGAGGATGTTTTAACGTCGACTGCGTTCTGCCGTGCCCTCGGTATCTGTATAACCAAGAAGTCCATGGTACTTTCCCCTGTTTGTGAAGGCAGACACAGCAGGCCCACATTGTATCTGCACCTGGGGCTGCCACTTCTCACTGTATAGGAGGAACAAGACTAACTAGCAGGGACAAAGGGAAGCAACAAAGAATTTTGACATAAATCTGTGCTGAAATGAATCATTTAGTTCCTTAATTATGATGTGTATATTATGCAATACAGAAAATCACTATTCTGCAGTTTTTGTTCCATATTTCCCCTTTTTTTCTCTCAATATTTGCATCAAATACAGGAGACTAAAACTACTTAACAGACTCAGAAAAACTCTGGAGGAGGATAATTTGTTACTATGGGTAAGAGTTGATTAAAACAGTTAATAACCAAATTAATTAATTTGGTATAAGGGTTTTGAAGCCGAGGGTGAAGGTAAAACGACTAACAAAAGCAGAATCTGCATACAAAGTTTATGCAAATTACACACAAACAGGAACTATTGCAAACTAAACCACATGTTGTTGAGTAAAATGTTCAGTAAACAGATATCTTCTGTGTAATGGAAAGACAGTAAGAGCAAATCAGACAAAATGTCACAGTCAAATTAGTAGTGGAACACACAAAATGTCATAAAAAGTTGTTTGTTTGCACTTCTTAAAAAATTCCCACCTGCCTCTAAATTCTGGTTGAGGTCAGTAAATGTGGTTTCACTTTCTCTGTTTGTACTTTGCCTGGGGAAACTTTCATGGCAACAAAACAGGATGGGCTTTGGTTCAGGTATGTGTCATCAGACTGAGCAGAGGACTCAAAGACAAAACGATACCTGCACTGAGATACATTTATGACTCGCAATGGTCAACTAGCACAATAACAAACGACAACATGCCTCGACTTGTCACTGACTTTCAGGCATGTGTGCACCGCAGAACAGCAGGAAAAGCACAAGAGCATTTGCATTTACGAGAGTCAGCAATATCCAGCCATATGCACGTTTAAAGCACAGCGAGAAATCTTCAGCATTTCTCGGCGTGTGATGACAAACTCGATAAAAAGCAAGGAGGAAATAAAATCATTTCAGTGCGCAGACTGCTTACTTCTGCATTTTTTTGATGATGTAATGCTTTCCGAACAAAAGAACAAAAGTCAACTGAAATGACATGGGATGAATCATAGTTTCATTTGAGAAGCACAGAGGTAAACATATTGTACAAATGTTTCAAAATAACCTTTGAGCTATGAAAAATCGAAAGGGCTGAGATGGATGTCTGTGATAATGGGATAAATTAATGTCAAAAACCGAGACACATTGTGTTAAAGAGGGATGGATGGGTGGGAGGTGATGACACCAACATGTAATTGTCATAGACAGTTTCTGAAGTAAACAAGGCAGAGACGCTGTGCAAATACAGATAGAATACAACCAATTAAAGGGCTTCATTGTATCACACAGTACACAATCACATCAGTAAAGAAGGAATAAGTGTGACTCCAGCCATTTTAGATCCACTTCTCAGTTACCACTGTTGATATACAGTGTAGTTACTTCTTGTAATTTTCTCACTCCTATTGTGGTGATTTATGGCCATCTAGTGGAGGTTAATCAATAATGCACAAAACAGAGAAAACGCCAGACTAAGAAATCATTACAACATTCTTCACCTTATGTAATAATTCTTGAAATACAGTAAAAGCAAAACTGTTGGACAGTGTGTTCTTAAAACACATGAAGCTGTGTATTATTACTGGAATAATTAGAAAACCTGAAAGATCAAACACAGGTGAAAATACTGCTTTGGTGATGTTTACAAAGCTGCTTCAAAATACATGAAAAATGACAGAGAAGAGATGATACTGCATTATTTTTCTGCTGACCCTTCTGTTATCCCTCTGTCACAGATGTAAACATCTATTGGAAAATCTGAAATGGAAAATGATCCAACATATAAAGGTTGTCTTTTTACGCTTGCTCTCCTCACTTTTTAGTCACTTTCTTTTGCTCTTTGGGGGTTCGTGTAGATATTGATCCACAAGTTTTCAGTCTTACTTCAAATTCAGAAATTCTAAACCCTTAGAAATCTAAACACAGCCATAAAAAGCAGCACTGCAGCAGGGCTTTTACTGCAAAGGAAGATATGTGATGCAAGTCTTTACCTAGACAATGAGAGTTCATCTGCTAATTTAAAAGTTGGTTTAGATCTATAATCTGAAGTTTTTGTGCTGCTTCGCTTGTAGAGCAATTGCTGGAAAAATCAATAGAAGAACTGAATCTGGAGGGAGAAAAGGGGAGGCTTAGAACTGTTTGATTAACTGTAAATCCAAGAGTGTAAGAATATCAGAGTCTGTGAATTCAAGAGTTTACCTTACAGAAGACTACGGTGTAAAGGCGATGCAGCTAATGCAGACGGAAAACAGAAAGTGGAAAACTGAGTAAGATAAAATGATTTTTAGGGTCCGAGCACCAAAGGGTGCGAAGACCCTATTGGAACTGCTCGGATTATTATTATTATTATTATTATTAGGGTCCGAGCACCAAAGGGTGCGAAGACCCTATTGGAACTGCTCGGATTATTATTACTATTCGTGCCAAAGACACGCGTTTTTGAGGCCCTAAACATACTCGAAAACTCACCAAAATTGCCATGTACATCAGACCCGGTGAAAAATTGTATAATTTGGAAGAACAACACACAACTCAATAGAAAAATTGCTCCACAGCGCCACCTTCTAAATTGTCAAAAGCACATTTGGCCTAGAGCTACGCAATTTTGTAGGCATATAGAGCAGGTCAGGATGAATAAAAAAGTCAGGCTGGGCCAAGTTGTAAAATGCAACACGGCTCAACGGCGCCGCCTACAATCTTTCCAATTGGGGCTATGGT